TGCTCGCGCTGAGTCGTCGCTGCCTAGAGATGCCTGGGTGCAGTTGGCCCATCTCTTCCCCCTGTCGAGACTCCATCTGATTTTCATCGGACCCGAGAGCATGATGAACCGCGATGACGAATTTCCCCTCCCGCCTCGTACTCCCGAGAACCCTTACGGTGCGGTTGTGGAGGACCGCGTATGGCCTACCATGAAGATCAGCACCATTGTGGATTATTACCATACTATCCACAAGACGGGTTATTTCGCTCCTCACGACCCTTACTTCGACTGCTTCGTCCTCTTCCACCCTGGTTTGGGTCACCCGGCAAGCTCCCACGAATGGGAGGAAACGCTGCCTATGCTTCTCGAGACCAAAGCTCCTATCATTGCTACAGGCTACACGCAGGCTGACATGGAGCGTGATGTCGAGTGGGTCAACAAGAAGGCCAAGGGTGAATTCGACATTCTCATGGAGCCTGGCGAGAACATCTTCCGCAGTCTCCGGTGGGATCTGAATGATCTTGACCCTCAGGACGTCAGTGCCGGTAACTGGGGTGTGTGGGCCTTCCGCGGAAAGAGGTTGGTGCTCTCTTGATTTTTTTCCCCCGCACAACTAGATATGGTTCGAGTGCTAACAGAGTTTTTTTTTTTAGGTATGAGGCTACCGTCAAAGACAACGTCATTGCTGTATAGATGAGCCATGCGTATGCTGGTCGTTGCATCCTGTAAGATGTAGTAGGTGTTGGCAACCGGGCTGTTAGGAGCCCGGACTGTATAATAGGAATATCAAACAAACGCATTGTCACGACCATATCGGCTGTTTACGCTTCAAGACTTTATGGTATCATTTCCGTTTCTGACGGCACGGGCTGGCTGTTACGGATGTCGGATCCAAGGTGTGTGTTCAAAATCTTGTGGACTGCACAGTCTGATAGTCTCGTAGTTGTGGGCCTAGGGAGGCACTGATCTGCAACGGTCAGGCTCGGGCCGCATGCAGCAAGTGCCTTGTGTCACGGCAGTCTGCTGTGGCAAGGGTGATGACAGCTTGAGCCTCATCGACGACAGACGGTCTCTTTGTTTAAAGAACTTTTCGTCCGCCTCACGCAGCACCTTGCACCGCGCAGTAAATTTCGGTCAATGTTTGTCAAGCGAAGTGCAACGATAACAAACTTCAGGTGTGGAGATTCCTAACCTGCCAGCAGTAGTGTGTATCCTTGGTAAGAAACGAAAACTACCTACATGCTGGAAGATGACTCGCACCGGCCTGACTAGAGTTAGAGGAATTTGAAAGCGGTCGAGGATGTGGTGCCGCCTTAGCTGCGTAAGTCAAAGGTGTGTGCTTTGTTGACATTCATTCAGGGGAAGCTCGACGACTTCAAGGGGTGATCGGTTCCATGCTACGGGCAACGACCATGCTTGGTCTTGGCTAACCTCACCGCCTACCCGTTTCGGACAGGTAGTGGCTGATAAGCGGCAAGGTGCTTCCTTATCACCTGGGCTACTGCCGCTGCTGGCTGGAGTCGCCATCCACCACAGGTGCGGGACAGGCGTGGACCAACACAAGACCGGACCACTCGCTACCTATCAACATGCACCCAGCACCACCTGTTCACCAACCACTGCACCGCGCAACATTGCAATCACACCTCGACGATTTTCTCTTGTCTTCCGCCTCTCGCGCTTCAAAGAGCTGCCAGGCTCTGAATTGTCATAAAGAGTGGACGGCGCTATGATATGAACGGGTGCGCGCGGGGCACAATGTTTGGACACCGCTAGTTGGCCCGTCATGACAACTGCCTCGACTGCTGCTGCTGCTGCTGCTGCTCCCACTTCCTCTGCGCCCTCTGCGTCCCCTGCGGTCCCTGTCACTGCACAGAGTCAGGGCCCCGCTCCCACTCGTCTCTCAACCCCACGACCAAAGTCGCCCAGGACGAGCTCAGAACCATCGTCGTCGACAAACAACCTGAAGGCCGGCACCAGGTCACGGACCAAACGGGGATCGCCGTCGCCCCAGTCCAACGCGCAGCGGACAGACCCCCTTTCTGACAAGGCCACCGTTTACCTGATCAGGCGCATCTTGTGTCCTCAACACCAGGACAAGGGCAAGACCCCGCCGGTATCGATTGAGGATGTGCTGCCGCCTCTGACCAGTCGGAACGATGTCGACCTGCAGCTGTATGCACTAATCGCCATCATCCTCCGGGAATATGTCCAGAACTGGTACAACAAGATTACCCCCGACGACTCGTTTGTCGCCGAGATCGTCCAGCTTATTGCCCATGTCACTAGAGCGCTTGAGCAGCGCCTTCGCAATGTCGACCTCGAGAGCTTGCTCCTAGACGAGCTGCCCGATCTTCTCGACAGGCATGTCACTGGTCTGTTGTAGCTCCACCAATGAATTTCGGGTTCGTTGCTAACTTGTTCCGTCCGATCAGCCTATCGAGCAGCTCACAATCCCATCACGCAGTCTCCCCTTCAGACGAATGCGCGCGAGATCTATCACGCTCTGTGCCCCCTGCCCGCTCTGTCTCCCGTCCCGTGCTCAGGAAGCCCGGACAGCGTAGCTGAGCAAGCCGAAAATGAGGCGGCCTATCGTCAGCTGCTGGTTCATGCTGTTCTTGCCGTACTCTTGCCCACTGAGGATCTCCAGAACGACTGTCTTGTGGCCCTGGTTGGCCAGATATTATCAGAGCTGATAATCGGGAGTGTTCTGGCCAACAAGCTGTCAGAGCCTTGGTTCATCTGGGAATGTTTCTCGATAGCGTCCAGCGTTATCACACGGCGCAGATCTGCCGAGCATGAGCCTCTGCCCCGAAGGAAGAGCAAAGTACCGCTACAGGCCCGCACTTCGTCGTCGGTCCAATCGGTTCAGGCACTGTTCTGGACCATCGTTCATTGGATCCTTCTCACGATATCGTTTGTGAGGGTGGCTATCACTATCTTGATCACCTCCCACTCCCTACCACCTCGTTCATCGCGCAGCACGACCGCATACGAGAAAGTGGCGGCTCACCATACGACTCGAATGGACCTCGAAAAGCATGCCGGTTCGTCCGGTGTTGAGTCGGAACGCTTCAGGACACCCGTTTTGGCATTCAGATGCTGGTCAGCAATATCCAACTTGATCGAGATGGACGGCCGGATGCCGTGGCTCAGCGGCACAGTGGCCATGTTGCAGTGGATCATGATGAGAAGCCCAGGAAGGCTGGGTGGTGTTGATGGGAGCATTGACAGGTAGGTCAGCCTCTTCTTTCCTTGTCCTTTTCCCTCTCTTTCCTACTCCCCTCTGCACATTCGACTGTTGCACCGCATGATTGTCAGGTCACTGGATCTGGAGGCGTACCCACCCATATCGAAACTGGTGCAAGTGCACGCAAGAGACTGGCAACCATGACAAGAACTGCAAGGAGCGGCCAACCAAGGCATATCGATCGAATGCTGGAGCTTGGGCCACAGAGACGAGGTCAGCAGGCGCGATGCATCTGCCAAGGCCAAGCTGTTACAAGGCATTTGGGTAAAGGCGGGTGTTGTGGAACACACCCCCAAAACACCCTGCGGCCGAATCGGCGACCACCGGACCCCAAGTGTTCCAATCCCACGATACATGCATTCGGAACGTCCAACTGCAGCCAGCCAATCATGGTGGGATGTGGCCTTGGCCATGTCCCATTGCACCATGGGCTTCGTGGGGCTTACTAGACGGACCATCGACGAGCCTTGTTTACGCGCCGGATGGGATTATTGACAAGGATCCGACACCCCTCCTCGACCCATTCTCATCATCCAGGTTCAGGAGACAGACTACCAGAAGCATCCGGCATCGAGATCACTTTCCGCCAGAATTCCGCTTCATACCACACCCCACCGTTGGCCGTGTCCGTCGCCAGGCGCAATCATACAGCGACATTCTGCCATACGCTGCGATATTCATATGGAACTTGCCCTTTTCTGGATGGACTTGTCTTTGTCCCCGGCCTTGAAGTCTTGGATATCTCGGTAATTCGAACAAAACAGCCGTCCCCATGACCGGTCATCTCGTCTCGGTATCTCACTGCCAATCCATCCTTCTTCTGGACTGCCCGATTGGCGCGCAATCTGCGACTCAGAATCTACTATGGAGGATCTGCTGATCAGATATCTGCGCTATGTCGCAAGGTGTATCGCGCCTGAGCGCTTTTTACGGCACGCAGGCACCACGATGCTTTGGTACGGAGAGCTTGCTTTTCGACCACCCCTCCTCGTGCTCGCAAGCCTACCATTCACCCCAAACTGGGGCCCTCACTGTCTCTTGCACTGTGCGGCGGTCCAGTTCCCATGGATCTCGGGGAAGGAACGAAATTGGTGAACAGCAGGGTTCTTGTCCAAGTGCCCTCTTCACGACCCATGGCCGATGGACCTTGTCACCAATGTCAGCATCTCCCCACCGAGCCTTGGTCTTCCTGTTCCCCGCAGTCACAATGGAAGTGAGGAGCTCGTCCTCGCGCTTGCTAGGACCAGCGGATCATGTTATTACCAGGGGTTGAGCTCACGAACATGGTGTTACGATCGTTTACCAGCTCGGGCCTTCACGGCGGTGTCAAGGTGGTTTGTTGATACGAGCTGCCCTGGTTCGTCAGCATCTACGGCCTTCGACTCGTTCCCCCCCATACCATGAGATACACGGTCCATAATATGATGTGAGACATTATTCTCGACAGCGGGAATTCTATTCATGGAATACTGGCAGTTACTCTCACTCTTAGACATGCCAGAGCCCGTTATCCTTCAATCAAACGCTGCACGCGCATGGATACACTCAAAAGGGACACAAACACTGGTTTGCGCGCACCATACACACCGCCGTACTGCTCCCACTCAGTTCCCGTTCTCGAGTGTTCTGTTCCCCCCACTTGATGAAACACCATACCTCCATTACACACCCCTTTCCCCCTTCAAAGTCCCCCAGAGCATAGAAGCGAGATATCTTCCGAGTATTACACACACAATGTGCACCAGAAAGAAGCAAAGAATCGCAAAAAATGCACATGTCCCGTTCAGGCAAAGAATACTGGACCGGCCAATAACTAGCAGACAAGCCGTTTTACTTACCATAACGATTCAATCATAGGCTTCTATCTTACGCAGTCCACAAGTATATCCTTGACCCATCAGGTCTACCCCCACTTCTCCGCAGTGTGCGAGGCGCACTCTTCCCCAACAACCTGCCAGGGATCTCGAGTCTGACGGCACCCTCGTCTGAAGACGAGCTGCTTGCGCTAAGGCGCAGGTGTGCTAAGGATCTTTGGGCGCTAATTTCGCCTGGATTTATCGCAAAGCTCCTTGGGTCCGTTTATTTCAGTGGCCGTTGCGGATTTGGCGGCAATTCTAGTCTCAAAGCCACGGCCGCGAGCCCAAAGGCCAGGCCAACCGCTAACACTGGTAGTACTAGTGCGCCCATGGTGGTAAGTGAAGAGGATGCCGAAAAGGGAGGCGCACTAGCCGGTGCTTCTCGTTCTACGACCAGTCGGGGAGCAAGCAATGTCGGTTCTGCCACTGTCCAGCCTGCTGCTCCTCAAAACTCATCACAGACGCCGAAGCAGGATCAGACACAAATGGAACAGATGCGGAGCGGGAGCGGACCGAAGAAAAGCGGCCTAGATCAGGGCCAGCAGGCGGTGGTTCCTGGTTATGCTAGCACTACTGGCGGCCCAGTCCCAACTCATCAACAGGGGTCAGGGTCGTCTGGATCGCTCTCCTCGTTATCGTCTGTTGCCCCTGCCCCTGGATTTAGAGCTGGGCCTGGGTCTGGCCTTGGCCTTGGGTTTGGCCGTAGAGGGTCAGCACCTTCGGCAACAGCAGCAACCATTACTACCAGTTCCGATCCCCGGTCAGGTAGCAACAGCAGCAGCTCTAGTACGGGTAATAGTCGGAGCAGTAGCAAGCTGTCTCTTACTGGAGGTGGTAGCACTAACGATGCCGCCATCCGCGCAGCAGCCTCAGCGATCAAGACCAAACTAGCCAAGAGGGTGGAGGACCAACACGCTCATGTTGTTGAAGTCCATTTTCAGCAAGAGCTTGACGCGAATGCAGATGCAGAGGCAGGTGATATACACGCCGCTTCTGCATCCGCTGCCACAGGCGGTCAAGCTCACGTTGATGATGCTGACGATGATGTTGACGATGGAAACCCAAATGAAGAGACGATTTTGACAGAAATCGAACAAGGAATTCTGGATGTGTTTAGCGATGCCTATCTAAACAAGCATCTGATTTACTCCATACTGGAGTTGATCCTGGTGCGGTTGATGCCCGAATTGGCGGAGAAGAGGGTTAGCGAGCTTTGGGAAGAGAGGCTTGCTTGAAATGGGGATCGAATAAGAGTACCGAATAGGGTTTGGTCGTTGTTCTTGCGAGACTTGTGTCTGTCGATGTTTTTGGTTTGTGTGTTCGTAACAACAAGCAGTTTAGTTTTTGGGGAGAAAAGAAGGGGGGGGGGGGGGGGGGGGGTGCGAGTTCATGGGTGCTCACAATGTCAACAGCAAGAAAATACGCTAGGAGAAGGAGCGATGCACGGGCAATTTAGATGTGGGAGTGTTACGCATCACCCCTGGAGAGTTCGTTAGCGTGGTACTTGCAGAGGGCTATTTTACCACTTTTAGGTTAGTTAGGTAGCATTCCTGACCTGCACAGCACCCGCCTGGTTCGTTGTTGGCCGCCGTGAATGGAGTCAAGTTTTGGTGCATGTGTGTGGGACACTCGGTGGGACACGATCAATTGTTGTTCTGACCCTGGTTGTAGCGAGGTTTGGGCTAATATGATGGTTCAAGGTCCCTGTTCTCTCCGTTGTTCGAAGACGCTGCGAGTCTCACTAACAAACCTCGAAGGGTTGATCTATATACCGACATGCCCTGATATGCTAACATATACTAACGGTGGCTATGGATGGTTCTTCTTCATCGGAAAAGCCCTCATTTAGCCGTTGTTTCGTTCCATTCCTGCGTCCAGATTCCCGTCCGTTCCCCCATCTGCCTGACCCCTTCGCTCCGACGTTTGGGTTGTCCTTCACGGAACAACTATGCTAGTTCGGGTAAGCATAAGTAGGGGAAATATGAGGGAAGTCCTTGAAAGAAACAAAGAGTGGAATGTGGACAAAAAAGCACATCAACTAAGTAACTGAAGTTCTTCCCACTTAACAGAGCCATAGAGATCCGAAAGATATTCGCACACGACCCGGGACTTAAAGCTTCCCGAATTTCCTCAATTTTTGAAAGCAAAGGGTAGGTGTGAAACAAATAGCGAAGAAGTACAGATGACACGCCCTATACCACACTGTACACATCCTGAAAAGGCTTGCCAAAAAGCAGTGCCTTCATTTTTCTTTCTTTTCGCGTCTGTCCAGTTTCACTGCGTCCATACTGAATCGATACCGTTGCTATTCGCCAAAGTCGTACTTTTTTCCCCTCCGCCCCAAGGTCCTCACAATCATCCTTATTACCAGGACAGCTGAAGAGGGCTATGTTCTGGTTCCTCCCAGACGACGAGTTTTTCACACTCGAAGGAGGGAAGTGGGTGGGCAAAAAAGATACATGTGACGGATTTGTGACAGGTCGGTAAAGGGGTCAGCTAAGGCGATCAAACATGAAATATGGAATGGTGATACCCAAAACAAGAGACCCGTCAAATATACATAGAGAAGTTGCGGACAAAGATTGATATAGTGAACATGATGAAACATGGTTAAGCCAGGATAAGCATGGGAAAGGTTGCAGGCGACGGCGTGGTTTCTCTGGATGATGCTTCGAAACAGAGAGACCCGCGGTCAAACGAGACAAGACAGACCAAACAGAGCCAAGGATGGAACTGGAGGCCAGATATTCAAAGGCGAGCAAGATGGGACGATAACATAAAAACCAAAAAAAAAAAAAAAAAAAAAAAAAAAAAAAAAAAAAAAAAAAAGGCCCAGTGAAATCAGAGCCGAATAGCTGGGAAGAGGATCTTTGACTCCTTATTCGCGTGAGCGTTGGTTCTTATCGCAGCGTGCGAGGTATATTGGCAACTTCGTCAATCAAAATGATAGCAGCAAAAAAAGGGGGTATAAGAAGATGTTTCTAGAAGAGAGGCAGGGAATGTGCAGGTGAATATAGAGAGACCAATTTTGAACCGGTCGTCTCCTTGAAGAAAACAGAAGCCGAGCCAGACAGACTTCTTAGTTTCCGGGTATTCCTTGCGATTCATGCCGCGGTGATGGATGGCATCGAAAGCGATCTGTCTGTAGCTTGTTCAGCAATCCTGATGGGGATACAGAGTTTTGAGGTCCGGGCGGTTTTGAGACGGTAATATGGAATCTCTGAACGTCCAATCCAACTTTACGTCCCCATGGCCTGTTCCACTTTGGGTATCGAAGCTGCTTCGGCGTTCTGCATCTCACTATCGCCCTCTGGTATCCGAGAAAGCCCACCCATTCCCACTGCTGTGTTCTTGGCAAGTTGTGCCTGGTGAAGCCGCAGTTTCTCGGTGAGTTTAACAACAGTCATGTATTCATCGTGGTCCACAAATCCACCTGAATGCTGCATGAATGAAAGCAGGGTGTCTGCAGCCCTTCTTGCGTCCTCCTGAGTAGGAGAAATGGGAGACGTAGGGTTTGCGCTAAGCGGTGTAGCGATCGACCGTCCAGCGAGACTTCCACTGCTGCTACTGTGACGGAGTCGTGGTGAGGTGATTATGTGATCCATGCCAAAGTGCGAGGCGCCTACTTCATTGGCAGGCGACTCAAGGGCCGAAGAAGGTCCCGTGGACGACACATGATACTTTGGCGTCAACGAGTCCCCTGATTCTTGTTGATTTAGGTATTCGAGGTCCAAGGTTGGGAATGTCTGGCTTCTTGGTCTTTGGAAGTTGGACCCGACACCGCTTCCCGGCGGGAGCTGCCTGGCTTGATCTGCTGTAATAAATGCTCCGGCATTAGGATCAGGCGAAAAACTGAACGATGCTGTTGGGCTAAGGGTGCTCCCAGAGAACGTTGAAGTTCCCGCGTCAGTAAATGCGCTATGTAACGAGGTTGTGCTGTGTGAGCCCGAGTGCTTGTAGCTGCTTTCAGTTGAATAGTCCATGTAGGTCGCCATGTTATCCTTCTCCCCTTCGCTTCTATTTGCCGATAGTGTAGATGGAGACGTGTGTCCCGAAGGGGAGAGGGGGGAAATGGCACTTGACGGTTGTGATGTGCTCAAGGAGGGCGATCCTCGCATGCTGCTACTGATGTTGGCTTCGGAGGCACGACGAAGTAGCCTATTCGGCCCAATGTTGTGTTTAAGCATGAACTTGTCCAGCCATGCTGTGCTTCCGGACTTGAGAAAATCATCTTCCGTGACACCCATGGTACTTGCAAACAAGTGCGCCTTCTCTTTGATCAGTTCGGCAGTTACTGGAACGCCTTTGCCCTGAGACTTTCGGAAAAAGTTGGTCAGAGCCTTTTCGACATCCGCGCCCTTGACTTTGTTACGCTTAATCGGAGAACTGCTGCGGTCCTCGAGATTCAGATACTTATCCCTGTGGCGCAGTACCTTGGACACGGTGCTAATAAAAGGTTGTCAGCTTAACTAGGTTCCGCAACCGACACGAACTCCCACAGATCATGACCTACCTTCTCTCAACACCGAACTGAGCTCCGATATCCGTTTGCTTGGCCGTCGGATGATCCATAGCATACTGACACATACGCCGACGGTCCTCGTCGGTGAGTGTTTTCCTGGGCTGTGATGTTGTCTGGATAGCTGGCAGTTTGGAGTTCTTGAGCGGTGTTGTTACCGGGGGGATGGCGACGGGCGGGACAGGGTGCGAACCGTATGTTGGATTCGTCAACATGCTCGGCCAAGTCGTCGTCGTTTGGGGCATCATCAACATTGGAAGAGGAGGGTGAGAATGTTGATGAGGTTGAGGTACATGATGCTGAGGAGGCGGGGGAGGAGGCATCCTGCCTAGTGACTCGGAGGGCAGCCCATGAGAGATCGGTGGCATATAACCACCGTAGCTGCCGCCGTAGTCCGGCATGGTGGTCTGATGGTGGAATGGGTTCATATCCACCCAATTGTTGTTTCCATACGTGTTGTTGTCATGAGCGATGTGACTGCCTTGGTCCATGCCTATCGTGCCAATGATTTGATCGTGCATGCTGGCGATAGATGTGATGAGCTGAAGCAATATCGTTGGTGGGTGTTGAGATCAGTTTTCTAGACGAGCCGCTCGGTTGAAGGGACCGAGTATACTCTCTTTCTAGCAGGAGTAGAAAGTGGTCCGTCAATATGGGGGAGCTGGTCGGGATGTCTAGGAGTCGCGGTGCATAATATGACGAGCCAATGGTTTCCAGAACGGGATCGGTAATGGGCTGGCTGGAGAGGGGTCGCAAGCCCCAAGAACGCCTGAGCGGTGCTATTGTGCCGGGGCTGCAGAAGTGTTTGGGGGTAGGATAGCCGGGTATGGGACCGTCGAGGTGGCCGTTGAGTAGATCAACTGCACCAGATAGGTCTTGGAGTGGGCTGGCTGGACGAAAAAGGCGGCGGGCAGCAAGCAGTGCCTCTTGTCAGGTTAATGAATGAGCGTAGCGTAGTCGGCAGAGTCGGCTGGATGGCCCCCAACCTGATAGTGTCTGGTCTGGTATCCAAAAGAGAGCTGGAGGCTAGGAGAAGCAGTCGAGGTATGTACTGTGTAAGCCCTGTCCAGATTCCTGCCGCGAGACGGTGCCGCAGCGGGCAAAGCAGCGTGACCGTCCGGTAGCCGATGAGACAAAAGGCGGATCAGTTGCTTCTTTGGGCGGCGTAAACTGCCCTATGTGTGGAGGTAGGTCGAGTGCTAATGACGCCCGGTGCTTGCTTTAGCTAGAGGACTGGATGACTGGGATGGATGGGCGGGTGGATGAATGGGAATCGAGGTCCAAGTTCAGGTCGGCAGAAGGGCTCTCTCTATGGAGGAATCCGTGGTATCCAGAGCGGGCAACAGCAGCAGCAGTTGCATCGACAGCAGCCGTGGGCAGCAAACAAGGGGAGCCGTGCCAGTAGGGAGAGAGGTCGGCTGCAAGACAGACGCCGCTACGTCCGCCTAAGCAATCGGGACTCTGGAAGAGGACTGGGCTGGGTTGAGATAGGGTAAGTCGGAGAGACCAGACGCACATGAGACAGGCATGTGGGTGGTGGAGGGCAACCTGGGGCTACATCTACTAGTTATGTAGGCGAAGAAGGATGTTTGTGTATACTCGAGCAGGGGTGCAGATGAGTGGATGGGGACCTACCACTCTACCAGGCAGCCAGAAAAGAAGCTAAGAAAAATTCGCCCGGGGGGGGGGGGGGGGGGGGGGTGTTGTATCGTACCGTGTGAGCTCGACGACGACAGGTAGAGGTAGGGGGGTGGGTTAGATACAGTAGCGTATGGACCTGGACAGATATCCCCAGTGTTGATGGCTCGAGTGAGGATGTTGAGGATATGGAGAAATATAATCTCAGAAATCATGAGCTACAGATAGCGTGGGAGCCAAGCAGCAAGCCACTGGCCAAAAATCCAAGAGGGATAAATTGCAGAAAGGTAGAAGAAACCCGAGAGGAACTAGCAACCTTGATGGGGTCGGTGTTCAGTTGGTTGCTAGAGTTCCAGTGCTAAACCACATTACCTGAAGTCCACTTTGTCCTTTTGAAAAAGGGCTGTCGAGTGCTTGAGTGGTGCCAGTGCTTTGCGGCAGAGAACGAGGGCTTCCAGGTTGTCTTGTCCGAGCCTGTTCCCCATGTCCAGATTGGACGGGAGCGAGAGGGACTCATCGGGGACGGGCTCGACATGGGCAGAGACAGAGAGAGAAATGACGGATATGGACAGGGGCATGGGGCCATTGTGAAGAACAAAAAAAAAAAAAAAAAAAAAAAAAAAAAAAAAAAAAAGGTCATCCATACCATGCCGAATCCAGACTATCATCGACAAGGGCGACAAGGGCCGATGGAGAGTGCCAACCGTAACCTCATCAACCGGAAGCTTGTGGAGAGTGGTCCATCGATGGACACCATACCTCTACCTACCAATACCACCAGCAAGACACACCGTGGGCCTGGCTTTACGCTATCGTGAGCAGCCCTGGAAGCCCTGGAAGCCCTGGAGATGATCGTTGAAGGCGGGTTTCAGAATAATAACGGCAATGATAACAAGTTGCCTTTTCGAGCACACATGACGAATGGGAGTCGACAACCATGAGCCGTGAAATTCCCGCTAGTCCCTCTGCCGAGCTTAGTGTAGGTAGTGGAGTAGGCAGCGCTTGTGTTGAAACAGATTTGTAGACCTGGACGTCCATGACGCTTCAATGGGGACGGAAGCAACTGAAAGACGAATTTCTGGACGTAGGTATCCAGTACCAGCTGCCGGCCTCGACCATTTGACAGGAGACGAAGTGGGAGACAAGCTAACCTCGACGGGGATGGCGGGAACTGCCCGGATGAGAAGGCGGCCGGGCGCCAGAAGCTGCTGCAGTGAAGCAAAGCAGAGGAAGAACGAGGCCAAACAACGGGACGATCCAATGTCTTACGGTTGAGCATGAGCTATTCCTCAAAAGACTGAGACACGGCGGTGGCCGAGTGGAAAGGAAAGGGCCGCGTGCTAGGAAAATTGCAAGTGGAAGGCACCACCAACCACGGTCCACCAGAGCAATCCTCATGATCATTGTACCAGGTACTTTCAAACGTCTGTCATTGGCAGTCGCATGGCAGCAACGGGCAATTCGCAAGTCAGTAGCATGGGGTGGCCGGTCAAGGTACTCGGTACCACCACACCCATTGTCACACTGGCTCGTTCCTTAATTGTAGGTAGAGAACCTAATGTATGCATGTTTCTTCCAGACCGGCATGGAAGCAACTGACAACCTCAGGAACGGGCGGAAACATGATGAATTCTGGACCAAAAGAAATTCAGAGACATTCGATGCTTTCCTTGACAGGCTGACCGTCGACCACAATGGCTCCGTCCAGTGGCTCTCAATGGCTCCAAATGGGTTCCCCGCCAAGGGCGCTGAGACAATCCGTTTTGAAGAAGTCAATGACTTTGACTTAGCGTGGAGCAGAACTTGAGAAGATCATTTTTCATACACGTCGTTGTCGTGCTGTCGCAAATCTCACTCGACGGACAAGCGACCTCGTGTGCAGATAGTACCTCCACAATCTCGACTAGTGTACGTAGGTATGCGGGACAAAGTCGCGCTCCAGAGGTGCGAATCAGAGTCGTGAATGAACCATCTCGACGATGCTTGGCTGATTTTCGGGATCGCAGAGTATGGCGTGTATGGTGTAATTGTCATCTGGTCGATACCACTCGATACCACCAGAGGTAGGTAATTAATCCCATTCCTGGCTGCAGCCCGTGCCTGTTGTGGTAACAAGCGAGTGGTTGTGGAAGCTCGGGTAGGTCCAAAAGTCTGTGTGCCGACTGCGGACTGTACTGCGACCTGCGAGCCGTTCCTGCCTGCATTGGCCTACACTACCTTGCCCTGCTGAGCAAGGATAGACCGTCAGAACAAGAGTGGAGTCTACTGAATGTGGAGCGGGCAGGGTCCGCCGGAGTACACTACATCTGCCACTGCAGCACGCAGGCATGAATGCAAGTACCTTTTTCACAGGTACATCATTGCCTCCCGGTACAAAGGCGGTCGCTTCAAAGGGCCCGCGTTGGAACCTTGTCAAAGCGAGCAGGAACAGACGGTTGGGGACGACCAAGCTCTCTCATAAGGCGGTTCCTGAACTACACCCAGACGGGACTCCGAGTTCAGGTACAGAAATGTCGACTGCAACATTTCAATCGCATCTCATCTTTCGGTTTCGTCATGGGATCTGCTCCAAGTCTCCCAGACCAAGACCGCCAAAACTCAAATTCTCGACTGATTGACCCGCGACCTCCAGTCTGCAACGTCAAGATCGGAAATGGATTCTTGTCGACTCCACCGTGGCCGGACGGCCGCTAGGCTAGAGACGCCGGGAGATGCTGATCTTGCCCACAAGCATGCTGCTCGTCAGCATCAGCAAGCATTCAGTTTCCAAGTCATTTCGGGATTGAGGCTATCGACAAGGCGAGGGTGCGAACCCGCGGATCTAGGGCCACCTAGGCCACGCTTGCAAGAAATTGCCTACGTGGGTAGTGGAAATGTTGGTATGTTCAGCTGATGGACATGGAGTGAGTGGACGGAACTGGGTCGCACGCCGGAGTTTTTCCTTGTCTTGTCTGCTTGTCTCGTCCACGCGGATGAAACAATGGCATTGTTCAATCCCACGGCAAAGAGCACCGCCCACATCCACACACCCTGCTCTCTCACTTGGTCCTTTATTTTTTTTTTTTTTTTTTTTTTTTTTTTTTTTTTTTTTTGCTATTGGCTGATTGGGCGGCGGATTTGAGGCTTGCAGGTGGAAAGGGCCTCAATTCCCACCACCAGTACCCGAATGATAATGGAACGGCTGATTGCAGTCCATTTTGACCCTTTTCCCTCATACCTGGGACTGGCTACCGCCCTACCCTTCAGGCTTGTCGTCATCAACGGCTCCTGGGCAAGGCAGTGATACTTACACCACAGCCGGCGACAGATGGATGGACGGCTAGCCGCATAACCCGCATTCCTTCCCATCAAGCAAGAGGATGTTCTTCATGGACCTCACTTTGAAGTTGCTGTGTATGCAAAACAAAAGCAGACGTCAGGAGATTTCAGCTGCGGCAGGGGGGCGTCCCAGCTATGAGTTTAAAGGCAAAGCGTGCATTAGGTTGCTGGGAATAGAACACCCACGCTGCCAAAAACTGCCAAAACCCAATAGCGGCCCATGACCAGGCATTCTATTTCCCATTCGACCCAAATGCTACCACCCGACTGCGCCCAAACTCCTCTTGAGTTATGGAGTCCAATGCAATGGACGTTCCCCCCTGGCTCCTGAAATCACTCGGGCTGCACAGTCAATGGGGAGTTGGAAACTGGAGAAAGCGGGAGCTCCCAGGCCGCAGCTCGCAGCTTCCCAGCTTCTTTCCCAGCTACACTGCCCTGGGCTGCCAGTCCGGCTTGGCCACCCAGAGTTCCTTCCTTATCTGTCTGTCTATGGATCAAGCCAGCGGCATCGAGCCATCAATTGGATCGTACTATGTACTTGCCAGGTTAGACTGACAGTTGCCCGTCACGGCCCTCAAGCTCACTACCGTTACTGCCGTTCAAAGGAGTTGACTGGAAGTCTTTCCGAATTCCTATTCGTCAGGTGCCACTGGCTGCTCCCATATCAATCGCTGATTATCCTACCACTGTAAGCAGAATGATTTCCCCGCAAAGATCTCGACGCCCCTTCTCCAAGTTCGTCTCTATCTCCATCACTCTCCTCCTTACAATCTCAATCGGGTCGATCGTTCTCTTTCTGAACGACGCTATGGATGCTACACCAACTCTCCAGGCATACCACCACCCGATGGCTGGTTTCTTCGGATTCCAGCAGATTATATAGCGCAAGGAAGAAGAAAAAGAAGAGGCCGTTGAAGTTGGAAGAATTGGACCGTCGCCGCTGCGATATTTCGATATTCTGACAGCCGTGAGCCGCCAACTACCAAACTGGGAGGGGAGAGTCGATAATTGATTGTTAATTGACAGTTGACAAGGACCCCGAGCTCAAGACTTTAGGCTGGTCAACGGCCAGTCATTGTCAGTCACTACCACCACGGGGAGGAGCATTCCAATATCTTGATCGTGGATAATTAAAAGAAGAAAAAAGAGAGACCCATGTCATGTGGGACAGGGGTTAATATTTGACATCGAGGTCCAACACGAGCCTACAACCCGCGACTGAACACTCACAAACGATGCCGCGAGATGCGATACCTGATTGCGTCAAGTTCAAGGGCTCAAGCCGCGTCAAGCTCCAAGATCCCATGGCCTAATCTCTCCAGCACGACATATGGAAAGGGAGCAATCAAAAAGCGGAAGCCTTCTCCAGCGACGTCACATTCAGCGTTGTTACCGTAGGAAAATCCCGAGGCTTCCGGGGGGTCTCCTCGAGTCCCCCGATCCCTTCACGTCTGTCTATGCCCGTGGTCCATGACTCCATGTGGGTGGGCAGGATGGCAGAATGGCACCGCTCCCACACATCGCTCCGGTTACCAACAAGCGAGGCTGTCGTCGTGGCCGCTCCATGGGTTTGCTACGGACCGCCTTCGCAGTCGCAATCGTCCTCTCTTCTGTCGGCTTTAGCTTTTACCGTTTGTTGCCGTTGGCCGTGCAATTCCATCATCTTTGTGCGGCCGTGTCGAAGGGCCAACAGAGCTCTCGAGACGGTCGTCGAGATGGGGAGTCGTCCAACAATCGCAGAGAATCACATACAGTATGGATTCGTCATTGGGTATACATCCAGCTTCAGCCAGACCCTCCCCTGTCGCCATTGGGCAGAAAAGGTAAGGTCCAAGCGAAGCGTCGACGGCTAACATCCCACTGGTCAGCCGCTCTCAATGCCTGACATCTCCATTCCACAAGGAAAGCTGCCTAGGATATGCTCAAGACGCAGCATCAAGCTTCCTTCCAAAACAGGCCTAGTGCAGAAGATCAGGACGAATGGTGCGCGCCGATTGTCTTCTAAAAAAGCCAGAGTCCAGCAGCCCTTCGGCGTGGGAGTCTGGTGAGCGACAGGACCAATGGGTATGATCATTTGGGATCTGACATTGGTGAGAGACTGGAAATTCATAATGTGGCTCCGTACAACGGATGAACCGCCGAGGCCATACGTAATGCGTAGCAGAAAGCCGTCAAGACAGATCAGCAACATCAACCGGGCGTATAAATATGTTCGACGTGATGGGATACATAAGAGGTTCTGTTGCGAAGCTGAAAGGCAGTTTTCAGCCCGCACGCTGAAAAAGAGCCACAATGCCACAGCGGAACCTACAACCGAAGACTTTGCTCGCTTCAGCAGCGACACGGGCCGGCGCAAATCCCTCCAAATTTCTGACGCTGTATTGGCCAGGCCGTTCACACTGCCGCATCCTTCATGGCGCCCGTGATCCTCTCTCCTCGAGCCCAATTGGACCCCACCCCCGTATCTGAGCAGCAAGAGAACTAATTGTATAGTCTCGTCGTTAAGCCTCTACAGCCGTATCTTTGGTCTTGAAAGTGGCAGCATGCCTCTCTTACGCTTTCACAGCAAAGAAAAGCACGGGGAGGCGAACCAAGCATTCACTGGACTCCACGGGAGTTCCGTGTGCTGTAAAAACCCACCCCCGTGTGTAGCAAAAAGCAAAATGCTGCATGTGAGCCTCCTCAAAACAGCCCGCCTTATTGTCAAAGGTTCGGTTTTCCCCCACGCCGTCAATCTGTCCTCGCTGCTCTTTTCAGGGGAAATTTGGGCCAAGCTTCGCCTGCACCTCTGCTTTCGGTTCCCATAGCTCTCTCTGACTATCTACTTGTGTCTCGCGGATGCAAATATGACCCTGGACTGCGAACTTGGCTTCGGCTTTCCTGCTTTTGGGACAGCCGCGTCTAGCGCCTCTCGAGACCCTGGAACTGAACGTCGATCAGAGCGAGTCACGAGTCAATGTGGACAAGAAAGAAAAGGACGACTTTCCCAGATTTGAAGCGCCATTATCGCGTGGATAAGGCAGTGTTTTCTGCGGGGTCTCGGCGACCCCTTCAAGAACCATACGTACCTCGGCGGCAAGAGGAGCATTCTGAAAGGTCGGAGAGGGGTGGGCGTGGTCAGCAGCATCGCATATTTTTTTCACTCCTCCGCATACATTCGGTCGTTGTTGAAATGGCTCTCAAGAGCGTGGAGGTTCCCATTCACAGGTGGGGTCGCATAGTTCTGACCCTACCATTCACTAAAGGACACAGTTGTCTCTCACAAGGTATTCGCTCGCTCTGTATCCATCATGGTTCTAATATCGCACTAAGGTGTCGAGGCGAGGCCCAATGGTGATTTTTCTTCACAGTCATGCGACCCATTGGCGTCCTCTCTGAGCCGAAGATGTGGTGACGGAGCAAGAAACCCTCACGTCTTGATCATCACGTTACCGGGTAGCGCCATGCATGGCACAAGGTCTATCCGAAAGCTGCTGGACCGGACCGCCATTCGGCATAGCGAAGCATTTGTGGGGTCCTAGCCGATGGACTATATACCATGTACATGGCGCCCACAAGAAAACCCTCAACTTCCTTACGCTCTGCACTACCGGCAGAAGGTAGGTTCCCGGGGGTTCTTGCCCTATTCCATAGCTGCCGCCGACCTGCGTCAAGGGACAAAGACTGAGAGAATTTTGTCCTCAGGATCAGATCATCTGCACCTCCTCCGTCATCACGCCTGCAAGACAATGGCGCCCAAACGTCCAGATATCGGCCTCAACCACTATATCTGATAATTGAAGGACTGCAGACATATGTACACCCGTCATACGCGGATGCCTCCTTCAAGCGGCGCGTTGGATGTTTAAGCGCCGGCCGGCCGCGGAAGCGACTTCATCTGCCGGGTTGCCGTTGCAATGCATTTCGACCCTGGGAGACCCTAGGGGTCGATCTGAAGTTCCCGTAAGCGGTAAGAAAAGTAAATTCGGAAAAAAGTAATGAAAAATGTAAGTCTTTTACCAGTTTTCACATCACATGACTTTTTGTTGGCCACTTATATTGCTGACCAAATGACAGCTTAAAGATGGCGCTAAGAAGGCATCATAATGTGAACAGAGAGCTGACGACGGCGAGGGTATGAGGTAGGTAGGTCAATGTGTAGAATTATGGCTGATCAACTGCAGTGGCGTATGGTATAGAGTCTGGGCGAGTGCACGGACTCGTGCACGAATCATTTCCGGAATTTCGGTAAGGAAAAGTGTAAGGAAATGAAAGAATTCTAACTTGCGGAAAATTTCGACCCCTAGAGGACCCCAACCAAAGATCGTCTTGCCTTCCCCAGCAGCGAAAACAGCAGGCCTCTTCCCTACCTTCCTTTCCCTCTACAGTAATTTCCCCTGCTCGTGCATGCACCTGCTCGTGCATAACACCCTCTAAATGCTTACAGATTACTGGCCGCAATTATTTAGTATGGGAAATTGCATAACTACTATTTACATATGAGACTGCCCGCTAAATTGGTGCGTATGTAATTATTGGCGCCCTTTCTTTAGAACTTTTTAGGGCTTAATAGCTATACTGACTCCCTAACGTCCCCGCAAATTTCTACCCTAGGGCGACCAGAAGTCTTGGCATCGAGCCTACTCGTGCATATATCCCTCTAAATGCATGCAAAGTGCCGTCCCGGATTAGATGCACGAACAGGGGAAATTACTGTACTGCGTACTGACACCACCGTCCTGGGTTCGCTGCAGAACCTTTTTGCTCTAGAGGTACCAACTGCAACTACCAAGCCGTTGCAGCGGTCCTCCATCCCAGGGTGCTGTTGGTCCTTGCTCTTGGGGTTGTTCGGAGTGCATATGGAATGCATGGATAGGGGGTGGAAGTGAAGGGAAAGGTGACCGCAGATCTTTTAAGGCCAGTCTGTTCATAACTCTAAACTGTTTACATTACCCCTATCCCGTCCCCGTCTGCCCTGCCCTGTCCTGCCAGCTCACATACTACCTCAATACATGTATGTACGAACGCACGCATGCACTTTAGACTCTGAGCCACTCACTCATTCCCTACCACTTACCATTTCCACACACCACAATTGACGATATCCCTACCGTATCTGGGCACGATACTGTTCAAGTAGGGAACTTTGGAGACTAGGTGGCAACATACACAATACTACCTGGAATACAGCCTTGTTGGAACAAGCCACACTCGACGAAGCAACAGTGACTAGGTCTGGATTTCAGGCCAACGGAGACGAGCTGTAGCGCCAGTGCACTAATAGCCGCAGTCTGGTTCGCTTGATGAGTTTTGAATCGTGCGATATCAAGCTTGTGTTTACGTACCTGTCCGCTTGCCCCTTTTACCCCTAAGCAAATCTGTAATGCGGCTGGAACTGGGAAGTGGTGTCACAGTTACTATTATCACCACACACACACACACACCCCCCCCCTTTATACATGCATGCACAACATACGGTAGGGGGGTTTAACACACACACACACACATACACATTACACGCCGCCCCTTTTTTTCGGCAGTCAAGTCTTCTCTCTGTACATCACAGATATAGGTACCAGCTTTTCTGTTGCTTACCAACTACCAACAAAAGGAGTTAGAGAGAGGTCCAAGTTGAGCAAGCTCGTGACAAGCCAACAGTATCCCAGAGCCCAAGTCGGGTACATTCCACTCACATTCCGTGCGGTTATCGACATTGATACTTCTAGCGGGAACGAGAACGCCGATTTCTACGTGAGGAAATGGGAAGATGAGACATGGACACTGGGGTGATACTCGCTTGCTGAGTGCCCTGGGAGTTTGGGAAGTTGGGGGTGGAGTTCTGTAGTCTGGATCATGATCAACCAATTTGCTATAATACGAGAGCTGGTTGAGATGAGATGGGATGTCAGATCTGACCATTGGAAGCTGGAGAAGATTGCAGCTTGACAGTCATTTTCTTTAGCTCTGGCTATTGGTACAAGGACAGATGTAGACAAAAGGTTGCAGTGTCAGTCAGTGAGTGTCATTGATAATTTGAGAATGACTGATGACTTGAAGTTGATGAACCCAAGTGGCTGATTGGTTAATACGCCAATCACGTACAGAGAAGTTTGACTTGATCGTCAAACCCGTAATTTACTTCCTTCTTTGCTTTGCGTTGCGGGTGTTTGGTGGTCTGACCTGTAAGCCAGTTTTATCATCATATAGAAAATTTCAACATTACTCTCAAACGGTCATTGAACATCGAAAACAACATCTTGGTATGAGGTTGTGAGATACCCAAGAAGTAGAGGCAAACACCACGATCTTGTTGAGCGAAGGCTTGGTTGCGTGAATGTCTAGACAAACCCAAAACTTATAAAGAGTGAACAAGTTGGGGCGAATGACATGGTAATGATTGTCTTTATCGTTAGGTGCCGATAGGTCCAGTATCTTCATGAACAGGCATAAACGTCTGTAGTGGCGTATAGTCTTTGAATGAATACCCCCTTTCATCATGCTGGAAAGGAGAGCAAAATAATCGTTACATGGTGATGTTGTCGCGCGCAATCTTCGTCATGCAAGATCTAGTGTGCAGTGGGGTGTAATGGAAGAGATGAATCCTCGCCATGGCTTAAGGGAGACACGGTTCAACTTGGGATCAGCGCCATTTATCACTCACTTGGTCTCCATTCAGAGTTGGAAAACCTGTTAGTTCTTCACTTGGTTTGCTTTACCAAGAGAGAGAACTTCTCAAACATGTGAGTGTACAGCGAGTTGGGATATCACACAAGGCACGAGAACAACAAACCACAACAGACAACAACATCATCAAAATCACTCACGTATACATCTGGGGGCTAGAATGGGTCAGATGTTCATGTTGAACACCGCATCTTGCATAGATGGGAGGCGTAACATGTACTGTGGACACTCCCTCATTGACACTCAGACAAACCCAAATGGCATGCCACAAACACACAGCGGGTATCAATAGGAGTAAACAGTAGGTACTTTCCTTTCTGTGGATCAAACCTTTATTACAACGCCCAATACAACCTTAAACCATACAATACCTTGCACAATCTAGACACCAAGTCCGGCTCCCTCGCTTCTCTCGCAAATACTCCGGTGAAGACTTTGGCGAAGGGACGACGAGGATTTTCGTCCCCCACCAAGCTAACACGCACCCTGCACTTATGACTCATCCCATGCTGATCATATGGAAAGAGCAAGTGAGAGAAGATCAGCATGTAACTTGAGGTAGCAAAGGAGACACTGCTGTGGCACTCTTATAAGAAGCAGCTTCACAAATCTAGGAAACACGTGCCCACCAATGCCCTCAATTGGAAGGTACGTTTGACGTTACTGAGTGGCCAGGGAAAGTGCGTGAATACCTGCAAGGAAACAGATGTTTGTACCTTGGCGGGAAGCTACAGATCGAGTCGACTTGAAGTGAAGAGGGAAGGAGCGGTGAGAGGCAGGACGATCTTGCTTGGAGTTGGGTTGGGGGAGAATAAAACGGGATTGGAACAAATCTCAAGGAACTTGAAAGAGAAATTCGACTATAGAGGAAACGGGGGGACGAAGGTTCGAGTGTCACGATCTGAGTTTTGTCGATGACATGGAAGGTGAAAGATCGACTTCAACACGTACATAAAACTTGCGACTAGTTTGACGAGGAATAGTTATCAAGAGAATGGCAGCATGACGTTAGACGTTGGAGTATCGGCTTGGTATTCTCTAACTAACTAAATGCACTCAACATCAACCGACATATACACGGTCGTGTACGATCTCTCGATAACCTAATGCGAACCAGTTTGTTGCGGAAGTCTGGGATTCCTGGAGAAGACCTTGTATTGGTATTCTAAGTAGGAAGTGTCATACCGAAGGAAAGAAGCAGGTCCGCTAGAGAGGGTCTTACAGCCTGGTTAAGTAGGTGGCTATAAGGCTTCTAGAAGGCACTACCTTTCTTCCCGTAAATAGTCGCCTTGCAAGGGCGGTCAACAAAGGTTATAAGAAGCTTTATCGGCCAGCAAGGCGGCCCGGTACCTGCCAGAAGGTTCTAGAAAGTAGACCTTCTAGGGTAGGCGGGTATACTATCTATTTATTTATTGTATATATCCTATATTAAGTCCTGGCCTTATAAAGAAGCTATTACTATCCTTAATAATCTATTCCCCTCAATTCCGTTTAATTTATATTTAACTAACTTTCTTCTTCTATTACTATATTAGTTGAGTTTCCCTAGCGAGTACGAGCGCTACGACCTCTCCGGGATCCCCGGGATCCGGAGCGGCTAATATTTTAACCTCCCCGACGAATTCTAAGTGTCTCTTCGGGGCAGCCTCCCTATTTTTCCTAGTACTTATTAATTAGCTCCTTTGAATATTTTAATTACTATTCTATTTTCTATTTATTATACTTATTACCCTACTCTTTCTATTTAATAAGGTACTATAGCCTATATCGTCCGTTTATATAATAGGTCAATACCGCTTCTATTTCGTACTTTTTTCCTTCTTTTTCCTTAAACTCCTATAAGTCCTCTACGGGCCCTAGTAGGGGTATGTATCTATTAAAAGGATCTTCGTCTTTAGGTATTAGTAGGAGATAAGCGTATAATATAATAGGGTAAATCTTTATATAGTCGGGGAGTTCTAAATAGTAAATTAAACGCCCGATCCGTTCGAATACTTTAAATAGTTTGGAGTATTACTAAAATAGCTTTTATAATAATTAATTAGATAGGTAGTAACTATAATATAATTAAAGAAAGACCTTATCCCTAATTTTAAATTTAATATCCTTATAGTTATCGTTATATCTTGTTTTAGCTTTAATAGTAGTAAAGTCTATAGCGAACTAGGCGTCCTATTATAAATATTCTTTAAATATAGTATTAGTACCGGTATCGATTATTAGTGCTATTAGTATATTTAAAGGTCCTCGAAATTTAAATCTATATAATAATTCGTAGGGGGAGGATTTAATAGTTTCTAAATAGGCGCTGTTAAAGTTCTATTAAAATAATAAGATAACGTCGGACTAAGGGGATTTAGGGTTTTCGAAGTAATAAAAACAAATTATTATCTCGATACTTTAATTTTTACGTTCGGAGAAACTATTACTTTATAAATAATATACGGTAGTTATAAGGAGTTTAATTCCCTATACCTTCTATATACTTTACTATAATACTAATATAAATTATAGTCTCTATTTAATATTAGGCCGGTAGGAATTCTCCAATTTATTATAATTAAATATCTTATTAAAACCCGCCCCTAATCGTCAACTATATTGAAATGGAGCAAAAACCACACCAATACGAAAAGCACCCTACCACACCTAAATATAGTGAGGAGCAGATCCGGAGTTGAATATGGCTTTCGTCCTTAGGAATTGAGATAGAGTAGTAAAGTTATAACTTATTAACTACTACCAAAGACCAACAAAAAGGATAAGATTCTCTTTATTAGTCTTAGGTTGGCTAGATAGGTCTAGGAGTTAATTCTTTTATAAAAGGGTTACTAAGCTTACTATTATGAGGGCGTTCGATAGTAATTCTATAGTATAGGAGCGGGATTCTTTAATCTATTATCGAGGATAAGTATTATCTAGTCTAGTCTAAAATTTTTACCTTCCTCTCTCTTTTCGGTCGGAATTTCCTCCTTATATCCCTTTTCTACTTATTATATTCCTAAGGTCCCGTCCGACCAATATAATAAATCTACTCCTCAATAAACAATAAGTTAAGGCCCAAATACCTTTACCTATTATTTAAAAGTAAGAGCCTACAATAAGGAAAAGAAGAACACACAAGGAAAACAAAAAAAGAACAAACGAACTACCCTATATTATATTTCCTTTTAAATATTTTTATAATCTTTTTTAAGAATATTTATATACCTAAAATAAAGAGTAAAGAAGGAATATACTAATATTTGTAATTAAGTAGGAGATTTATATTAAGGAAATAATAATAAGAAAAAATAAATTATAAATTATATTAATAATAATTTTAAATAAATAATTAGGGTAAAAATTTCTTCCCTTATTCTTATCCTCCTTTCCTATATTTTTTAATATTTCTAATAATAATCTGCTCTTTCTTCTTTATTTCCTTTTCTCTTTTCCTTCTTTTTTTTATTTCCTCTTTAAATAGATCCTTTGTATCTTTTAAATTTATATTTAATAGATTTTAGATTTTATTTATATTAATTACCCTAAATTAAGATAATTCCTATTTTATTCTCTTTAAAAGGATTAAAATATATTTCTATTTTATATTTATTATAGAAGTACTCCTAATACGTCTAATCTTTAGTAGGTCCCTTACAATTAATTTTTTCGTTAGGAGTATAAAGTAGTTAATTAGGAAGTGGTTGTAATTTCTAAATATAGTTTTCGCTACTTACACTTTATTACGCTTTGTTATCCTCTTTTTCCTAGGTTTTGAAGGGGTAGAGGGGTTTAGTGCCGGTCTTTTTTTTTATAGAATTTATAGTATTTTAGGTTTAGGAGTGGATTCTTCTTTTTCTAGTTCGGATTTAAATTTTAATATTTTATTAAATATAAAAGTAGGGTCTCTATTTTTATCCTCGATATTCTTTTATTTAGATATATTTATAGTAGCGTTTTTCTATTTACCGATAGAAATTAAAATAGGTAGTTTAAATCCTTATTGGACTAAATTATAAAAGGCTTTAGGATTTCCTATTACTACCTCTTCCGGTAGATTTCTAATAGTAAGTAGGTATAATTTTTTATTATAATTATACTTATTACTTAACTTATTATTTAAAGTTCGTACTAAGTTTTTATATTACTCTTCGTTTAATAGTTCCTTTATATTATTAATCTATTATATTCTAGTATAATTATATATAGTATATATTTATTACCTAATTATAATTTCCTTTAACTATTCTATATTATCGATTTATATTTAAGGTTTTTAATAATTACCCTCTTCCTAAAAAATAGGGTCGATATAAAGGTACAATATATTAGTAATATACCGATTTCTGCGTTTTATTTCGATAAAAAATAGTTTAGCCGTTTCGAATATTTAAAGTCCGTAATTTTAACCGAATTATTAATAAAGAAATACGTACGTTAAGGTATTATTCTAAACCTTTTCTTACTTT